CTTCAGGTAACCACTGCTGATAATAAATTTTGTAAGAGAAAAAACGATCCCATAAAACTAGTAATATCATACATTGAAATGAATCGCATAAATTAAGTTCAGTGCATAAATATAATTATTACTTTATTTTTTTATTTTATAAAATTATCTAGTTGATAGAAGAGTAAATAAATTACTTTCAAGATAATCAAATACTGTAATGCAATGCACTTGTCTTTAATAAGTTACTTTATTCAAAGTACATAAATTTCAATGATTTATTGAAGAACAATTTAAGTATTTATTTAAACTGATATATTAGATATAATTTAACTAATAATTTCAATGGTTTACACTTATCTACTTGTCTACCTATTTATCTACCTTATTTTGAAAGAAAAGATAAACATTTTTGTTTCCTCAGAAAGAAGTTTTGTGGAGATTTTTAATAATTTAATAGTTGAATTTATGAGTCAATTAAAGCTAAACTACCATGAAAAACTTGGAAGCATTAGACAGTTGTTTCGTCCTAGTGAGAAGCTGTGACCAATGGAATTCAACTAGATCTGTTGTAAAATAGTGTGATGTGTGCTACCTATATACATATAAGGAGTATATAACGATAGTCAGGAATAGAATGTATTTCATTAGAAGATCGAGAAGGAAAATAATTTGTATGAAAATGCAGAAACACTGAAATCTAAGACGATGGACTGATATTTGCAAAAGAAACAGTGAAGTTTGAGATAATGGATTGATATTTTGCAAATTAAAGATTTACTGTATGGTTCTCAGATTTCAATGACATATTCTGTAATTTTGTATTCGAATACATTCGGTTGCCCCCATTTGTACTTTTATTGACTACAATAATAACTCACTGAAGACAATAGTGGATGGTGGCGCAATTTTTATTTACATTTATAAAAGAAAAAAACGTATAACTGAAGTTTATCAGTGCAAATTTACAACGAAATTGTTATGAACTCTTATTCATCATAAAAATAGGATATCGTTTTGTATTCAATAAAATGGAATGTAAATGATTAGTGTTTATAGTTCAGTGATAAAAAAATGAGATTTATTTTCTAGATGATTATATTTACTATGCTATAGGAAACAATATATTGTTTCTTTGCTTTTAATTTTGCATTATTATTTGACTAGTTTGTTAAACTATCGACAAACACTCAATAACTATATAGAAGTAACCAATTTTATGTGTCTAGTCCTTGGTAGTCCTTGATAGAATTCTACCAATTAATTCGTAATGTAACCAAGGCTTTAAATGAATTGATATATTACAGTGCACTTTGGTTAACGTCAGGTGGTCGGAAGTGTTCAACAGGGTACTCTGTACTCAGGTTTCGTATCGAGTGAAATTAATCAATAAAAGATGTCTACAGTATTCAGGAGATTACTGTTCTTGTGGAGACCGTATTTATATCATTGTGTCATAGTTTGTGACAAATGTCAACTAGCACGAAACCCAAGTCCAGGGTTTATACCCGATTGTTTCCACCTATTTGAAATTATTAAACACTCGTGAAGGGAATGGAATATGTTGAATCAGTTAAATCTTTTTTGGATTTATCTACCTTGAATCTCAGTTGATCGTCTATGATTGGCTACATCTTAGTGACATAATCAGCTGTATTCATAAGGACGACACCTGAACCTCACAACGAGAGAAAGAAAGACTCTAAATAGTGCAATCACCAAACATCTTCTTGATAAAGGACATCAGGTCGATACCCTGCAACTATTCAAGATGATCAGTAAGCATCCAAACTCCAGTCATCTGAAGTTTGCTGAAGCCATTGCTATCAGACGCCAAAAACCTGATTTATGTGTTCAAAAGGAGATGTTTATTAATCTTTCCTTGCCTTGGTGACTAATATTCCTTCGCTGTATCTTAATATATATATTTTTTTCTTTTTATTTAAACTCTTTCTTGCACTTATCACATCATTGAGTTTTATTCCAACTATCTTTCAAATTATTAATATTAATTTATCAACTGAACTCTACTCATTTTATTCCTATCAATGTTTACTTGTTTCTAGCCGTTTGAACTGTTGTCACAATGTTCTTTTACATAAGGTATATATTTACAATATTCAGTCTATTAAATTTATTTACACCCTTGCTATACTATACGAATATGTCTTTAATATAACTTCCAATCAAACTCTTTCATGTAAGTAATTTAAACTCATTATGTAATTATGATTTTAAATATCGCAGATTGTAAGCAGCTGAAGAGAACCAACGAAATAAAAATGAATTCATGCTATTCTGCTAGAATGTTTGTTCTTGCTCTTTTCAAAATGATAAAGGGAACTATGTGTATGAAATTTATCTTTATCGTTCAGTAGAAAAACTGCATATACATGTGGTGGCTACCTAGAAAGTTAACCAATTTGTTCAATATAGAGAAGTTTTAATTATAAGAAGGAGAAAGGCATTCATTGATGAAGTAAAATATTCATAATTAGAGTGAGTTGAATGAAGTCATTATGTTGATCACTATAATACTCAAGAAAATAGACTGGAGTATGTTACAACAGAAAATTATTTTAAGTGGTTATTACAAATAATAGTTTACCAGTATATGCAACAACAACTCATCATGCTTCCAGTTAACAAAAGGTATGGGATTAATATTTAACATGATCTAGCTGTCTTAAATATTTCATAACTCACTCTTAATTGTGTAGAGATCATGGATCAACTAAGGCTTCATATAGCACAAGTCCACAAAGAATTGTCAACTAATTTATTGTAGCAGAAAAGAATGTTGAGCATCCAAACAATAATTACTCGTTTTGGTATGCGTCATTATTCTGATGACTACATTACAAAGCCTTACTGTTGAAAAACGGATGACTAACATGTGAAAATCTTCTGATACAAATATGCTTTTATACACAATTTCAGCTGAAACATTTTATTCAAAATGTAAGTATTGACGTAAATATTTCATCTGTAGATCAAAATGATATTTGTAATAAGTAAAACACAAAGGTAACATGCTAACTCTAAATAGCTTCTCTCCAAATTTTTTATTATAACATTCGGATGATTTCATAACTTGACAATATCTTTCTTACCTAGAAACATTAGTTCATCCAAGTCATTTGGGTCGATATAAGGATCATCTGTAAATCGACTCCACGAATTAGTACTTACATCATTAAGTATAGATTAGATTCAAACAATGTGGGAAGTGTAAGCTTCCTTAGTGAATATTACATATAGTAGTTAAGCTATATAATAGTTTCTAAGTCTTTACATCATCACAGTTGTTCCAGAGGGAAATAAATATTCTCAGATAACCTACGTACCTGGTCAGTATTGTTGATAAACAAGGAGGATATTATACAGATGTGAAGGCATAATTTGGCAAAGTGAGAGCAGCATTTCTACAGTTAAGGAATGATTGAAACTTAACAGAAGTGTTATCCATAAACAAAATTAGAATTTACAACACCAATGTTGTACGGAGCTGAAACTTGGAGGACTACTACCACCATCACCAAGAATATACAACTATTCATCAACAACTGTTTAGGCAATATACCCCACATCTACTGGCCAGAGACCATCAGCAATAACCCACTGTGACAGAGAACAAACCAGCTTCTATCTGAGGAGGAAATTGAGAAAAGACGCTGGTGTAAGATAGGATACACTATGTGAACATCATTAACCTGCATCATAATACAAACCTTAATTTGGAATTTTAAAGACGAAAGAGAAAGAAGTAGATCGAAGAACACATTGAAGAAAGTGTTTAAGGCAGATATAATAGGTAGAAAGGAGAGCCCAGAACAACAGGTGTTGGTAAGTATGTAATTAACCTACTTATAATGATTTCACACTGTTATTTGAACTGTTTCTTAGTATTTTGTTAATTTTGGTTATTAAATCTATTAATTAAATTAAGATATTTCTTCAGCAGTAAATACTCAGGGATTTTCAACGTCTTGTACTCTGAAATTATCATTATATCTAAGATAAAAAAAGAGGTTCTGAGATATCCATCAGTATGATTCCAAGATGTCATCAATGTAATCAAATTTTCATTTCATTAAATAGTATGTTCTTATTAAACTGCTCAAAATTAATTTTGCTATGGATTTCCAAATTATAGTTTAAACAATTCTTAAATTTATTTCTAATCACCGCATAACACTCTAAACATCTTTATTCAAAGGTTTCATATTTTCAGTTCAACATGAGCATGAAAATGCAAGTATATATATATATATATATATATATATATATATATATATATATATATATATATATATATATATATGTTTTACAAGTGCCCTCAATCCATTTTACATTCAAACAAAACTTCATAATTCATGCTGAGCTTAGATGACAACAGTCTAGAGATAGCTTCTCTATTTAGTGTATCCTTGTTGCTTACGAAATTCATTTTCGAATGATTCATTGTGTCATGATTACTACTATTCACTTAAACCACATGATTTATAAAATTGATGATTGGTATTTTATCTTCTAGGTCAAATATACAAATTTTTTTTGTCCATTCGAATGATTACAAATTATATACTAATACACAAATAGAAACACACACTAATTATACCAGTATAGTGATTGTTTTGTTGTTGTTGTTGAGTTGTTTGTTTTTTTCGTTTTCAACACTTTCTTTTCGATTCGTTCGCACTTTATTGGGTTTTTTTACGGTGGGTCTATTCAAAATCCGATAGTTTGGGTTAGTTACACAAATTATTTCTTTTTGGAGTAATACAAGTGTAGTGTGGAATATTATTATTATTATTATTATTATTATTATTATTATTATAACTGTCACTAGCCGAAAGGCATAACAATAATTCGTCAAGTATACAACAACCAATAATCAATAAACTAGTGAGTTTATTTATTCAATTAGATTGATAGTTCTTGTTATTTCACCATAAAATTTATTTTAATATTATTCGACATACAATAATAGTTTAGATAAAGAAATCAGAAGAAAAAATATGCGTAATGGTCAAGGAAAAGAAGTTGCATCAACAAGTGTAATGATTAAAAAATATGTGAAATTAGATCCAGATGATGACTTCAGTTCACAAACATTAATTAAACGACATGGTGAACAACTAAAAAATAAACATAAATCTTCAAAATGGTGTCGATTACATATAACAAATGATGAATTATGGTTATCTGGTGCTTATTGGTGGCCTAATTCCATATTGAATGGTATTCATTTAAGTGAAATCAATTGTTTAGTAAAATTTTATTCAACACCTAATCTATTAGCTTTGGGTATAGCTTCACGTTTATATGAATCTGAAAAACAATATGTTATACTCTGTACAAAAAGTGGTTCAGATCGTGAGCAATTAGTGAAAACTTTAACTACACTTTGTGGAAATCGATATACACAATCAGAAAGAAGTTTTAATGTTCCAGTTGTTGGACCTACTGTTAACATAGTTGAAATTTCATTATCACCCGATTTAAAAAAGCCAGTTCCTGTAGGAAAATCAATAGAAATTAATCATGAGCCTAGTATACAACCAGTATCATGTAATAATCCTGAAACATATATAAAAGAAACGACAATCAAAATTGAAAGACATCCTTCACCTAATCATATATCAACAGCACTGATTTCAACTGAACATATAACTACTAATGTGACTGTTGCTGCTAATAATACTACTGCTACTACTTGTACTACTATTGATAATAATTACAATGATGCTGTCAATAACTATGATGTTCACCATAATGACTGTGATACTATCAATGCACCATGTACCATATCACCATCACAAAAACCATGTCGAGAGATTCAATGGATTTCAAATGATAACATAGGACCATATCGATTGAAACGTTTTATGGCACCTTATTGTGAAGGATTAGAGTCTGGTTTAAATCCGAAAGATTTAATACATGTTTATTATGATCCAAAACAAGGGAATGTTATTTCACCAGATGGACCAATTTATTTATATTGTGTCAATTGTCCTACTGAGTGAAAAACAAACGAATTATTTCAAAATGAAGACAATCTATAATTATTTTTTACGATCACTATTACTCCTACTAATCACTACTTTCTATTAGTCACTGTAACGACACCGATTAGAGATCGATACTTATTCCAAATGTAGACAAAAATCATTATTCAAATAAACTATAACAACTTTTCTTTTCCCAATGGGAATTTGTTAATTTTCTTTATAAACAGAATGTACTATTCGCCTGTTTACCTCATTATGTAATTATATTATTTTAAGAACAGCAACATTGTTAGGGAACACTAACCAAGAGAAACCATGACAAATATTAGTAAAACTAGAAGTTAGAGTGGGGGTGAAACTTACCTATTATTTTAGTGAAAAAATGTGTTATAAATAAAGAGTTTGTTACATTTTATTTCTACTAATGTAAACTGTTTGCTATGATTACAATTTACAGTTTTCCAGTTATTTACATTCATTATTTATAATGAAAAGGATTAAACAGCTTTGTAATAATAATAATAATAATAATAATAATAATAATAATAATTTGATTAGTTTCTACGCTAAGTACTTTCCATGGAAAGATACTTTTGACTAGTCTTATAGAAAATTTTTGTAATTTTATATATGTTATCAAAATTTCAGATATTATACCCTTGACAAAACTCTAACTTTCAGATCAAGAGGTTGTACTATCGTAATTCTATTCATCGTTATACTTCCAGAATAAAGATTATCCCATTGCAGTTTTTAGATAGAAACTATGAAGCTCTGATTTATAGTAGTCTGTTACATACTACCAATAAGTATATACTTTTGTGTACTATCAGAGAGGGATAATTATTATATGATCGTAAGTTAAAACCATTCTGTATTGATTCATTTAGTATTGTTTTACTTGAATCTTCCCATTGATGTTTTAGGACTGAAATTGATCAGTTTCTTATTGGCATATGTGCATACTGTGCGTATGCCTCGATACTGCCTTAATTTACAAGCATTATAAGCAAAGATGGATAGTGGCTAACAGTGGAATCCAGGACGCGCGTTTCGTCTTGTTTGGGACTCGTCAGCTGGATGTGACAGCAACTCAGAGTTCATGTTCACTCCGGGACGACTTAACACTCTTTCATCTGGTTTGTATTACTGTTGATCAAATAGTTAGTTAACTATTAATATAATATTTAATAGGTATTTACCATAATCTATGTATTTAAACAAGACTTCCAGATGACGTAACTAAAGAATTCATATTATTAATGATGTGCTTAGTAACGGTTCCATTATACAGTTATTTATGGTACAGAATGCTTATTAAAGAATTTATTCGTTTCGATACTGAGTTTCAAAACTTTTTAATATATATCTCAATAGTAACTTATCGATGATAACATCATTTTTAGAAACTACCATTGTAAACATTCTAAATCAGCTTTTCTTCGTTTAAGCCGATAAATTAACTTCTATTGATCAATAGAATCTTAATTAACTCTAATAAAGGTAAACCTATTGTAAATGTTACTCAATCGTCATTATGTCTTATAATTAATATTTTTTTGTGAACTCATATTATGAAAACATAAAATAGGTTGTGAAAATTAGCTTTAACTAATTAAATCGTAGTATTATATTCACTTGAACTAACATCCTAAAGGTAAGCTAATAGAATTAGCTCCTTTTAAGTTACGTTTTAATTATTGTACCATGTAAATATACAAAAACCAGATGAATTGAAAGAAAAAACTCCTAGCAGTAGTACGCAATACTTTTATCACAATAAATCTCTAATCCAATGATACAATGTGGAATGCTAAGATATAGAAAATTTTGTAGTGTCTTTATAAGTCATCTACTAAAGATATGAGTTTTAGAGCTTCAGATTCAGGTATTTATAATTTTCGAAATTATGATACGAAAAGTAATTTTAGGATGGTTTTGGTTGATTGTTTAAAAGGTACTACATTTCTTGATAGCTATGTTGATTAGTATATGGGTTTTTCTGTGGGTATAGCGTTCATCCTAAGCTTTAGATTTATACACCTCTCCGTTTGCTTATGTATGAATAAAAAGGGTTTACTACTAGCCACTACATAAAAAAGTATATCCTAAAAGGAGAAATGCGAAATCGGATTAGGTTTTTGAAAGTAGATTAACTGCGGTCAATTAATAAGAACGAGGACCGACTAAAGAATATTGGTTATTTACATACCTAAATGTAACTAAACTAATCGAATAATCGTTTGAAAGGATAGAGTATAATGTTGTGTAATCACTCAAAATTGGCTCAGATATTATTCTTATTTTTGAACGTTATCCCCTCTAATCTCGAAATTATTTATAAATAAACTCATTATAATGAGAGTTATAGTTTCAAATACAAGTTTCACTGACGAATTGTCTGAATACTTCCTATTACTTAACTTCAATAATTTAAATAAATGTTAATTCAGTGTTTATTTTCCAATTTATTGACCTACTTCTTATCAAATCTGGGATACAGGCACACCCAGATTATGAGTCTCAAGCAGGACGAAATGCGCCTCCTGGATTCCACAGCTAGCCACCATCCGTCTCTGTTCACAAGTGCGTTATTCTTATCGCAACTAGTACACCTGTCATCATGCTATCAATTTGTGCTTTTTATTTATTGTTTATTTATGTAATCTATTCCACTGCTATCAATGACGCGCAAACTGCCTTGACAAATTCGTATATGCATGTGAATATTACTGTATGTTACAATTAAGTTTGATGCGGATTTGGATGTAAACAATATTACTCGCTTGTATATGTTGCTCTAATTTATAGTTTGGGAATTTTCAAAATGATATAATTTTATAGTTTGCTTAGATAGATGACTTGAAGGTAGTGTTCATCACAGAGTGGCATTAGTTGAAAACCTTTGAAAATAAGGTAATGATAAGCAGTTCTTCATTTATAGTTTGAATTTTCACAAGAACTCCGTTCGAACTTTAGGTCTTGTGACATGACTAACACCATTTAACTGAAATTCAATATTGCGTACACTCAACTTTATTAACACAGTCATCCTCTATATGGGCAATCTCTTAAATAAGAAACTGTTGTTATTCGGGTTACAAAACTTCAATCCACTTTAATTTCCAAATATTCACCTGAATCAGAAATAAGTTTTGAAGAATAATGTTAACAGGAAATCATGAAGAGTTTACGATAATAATATAATGGTTTATTCATTTTTGTAACAGAATTTTGATCTAAATTCTGTCATTAGTAGATTTCTAAATTACCAAACGCACTCGTCTATAGTTTTACAACTGTCAGAAGTTCATATTTCACCTGGTGTTTCCACTGTCTATCTGATCTAGTAATAAATAAGTTTCTTACAAAATAAAACTAGTTAAAGTATCTTTTAATGTTCTATATTACATTACAGTTTAGTAATCACCAGTTTCACAAATTAATCCGTACATATTACAGAAACGTTATGTTTAAATATAATATGCTACAACCATCTGCTATATTATTTTACCTGTACAACGAATGTTTAACACTATTGATGCCTATAGTTAATGTGCTGTAAACACTGTAACATTAAAACCTGATCTCATTTTATACACTTATTGCATCATATGAAATTCTTAATCTTTCATTTGCCGAATACATACATTTTAATGGATTGCATCAATCAATCAATCAATCTAATCAATAACTTTTACCTGGTAATAATAGCGTTTACAATAGTTTTAATAAAAGTAGTCAACGTGACAGTTAGTCAATGGTATTTCCTAATTCTAGAACAGATTTAGTATACAAATTTATTCAATGTTTTATATTCAGCATACCGTTGTCTATCTCTTTCTTCATATATTTCTACAAGTCTGATTATTCATAACAAAAATATAATTATGAGGGATACAGATCAAATACACAGGTTAGTAACTAACATAACATTGGTATATGAATTATGTTTACCAAATTAAAAAAAAATTGATTAGTGATTTGATAATCGATACCATCGTATTAAAGTTGAACTGAAATGTTAACCCTCTCTTTAACGTACTATTTACATTTATCCTGATTAGTATAAGTTCAAGCCTATGGACAGTTTTAAAAGTGAATTTATTTTAATATGCTTTCCATGTACTGTCTATTATTAGCTGATAAAGAGTTAAAACACTTAATTTCTTAATACTAAGGTGCAAATAAGAACTTGGCTTTATTTACTTCGTATATTATCACTAACCCGTATACTGACACTGTATTTCATAATCGAATACATGGATTTGTATTCGATAAATAAACAGGATTAAACTAACTAAATATTTATAACAAAATAAGAAAATCCAAATATATTGAATCTAAAGCAATTAGTCCCTTTGATAAATTTCGATAATGTAATAAGAAGAAAAAGGTTATCAGAACTATGTGATATGTTGGCGCAATACATTTCGAACAATCTGATCACATGTATACTTGTTAAGAATATTTATATCTAAAAATAAAAGGTCAACTAGACTGGAAATGGGGTAAGAGGAGACAAGGATAATAATAATAAAAGTAATGATAATAATAATAATAATAATAATAATAATAATAATAATAACAAAAATGTGAACACAGTTTGAAACCTAATCATTCCGAATAATAAGCGAATATCATCAGGGTAGGTTTAAGGTGAGAACAAACTGTTTTTGAATACACAAAGGGGGTTTTGATGTTGAACTGTCTTTCATTTTCAGCACAATTCCTACAGAAAGTGTAAGAAAAAATATGGTTGGTATAAAGTCAACTATGTGTATAATAGTCAATCAAATCACTTATAAGTGTTGTGTGCAACTGTTATGAAATTTGAGTTCTTTCAAATTCAACATAAATAAAGTCCACTTATTCTTGATGATAGTGATTTAAAATGTCAGTGTAAAGCAAGTATGCTTAACATCTAGTTAAATCAACTAGATTAAGTGGGAAGACAGTTCCAAAATCGTCATACTTTAAACTATTCATGCTGTAAGAAAATGGATATAATCCTTTGTTACATAGAGTTGTTTATTTTTAATTACTACATTCCTGTTGACTTACCATTTGAACTCAATGTATTATTTTAGTAAACGGATTATATCTCTATCGGTTGTATCTAACAATTAATGAATTCAAGTGTTAACAATATTTATTTATCTTAAATGTAAATATAACTCTTATTTCATCACATAACCAACTTTCTATAGGTGCAACAAACCTTTAAAATGAACTGTTTTGCACAAAACTCTTATGAAAATATTTCTCACTAACCGTATAATTCAAAACAAGCAATTTTCTCGATTCACTAGGACCAAAAATGATTTATCAATAATTTCAACAATATAGATTCGTAGCAAACTCCTCAAAATTTTGATTTACTAAAATGAAACCTTCTCCACTTACTCATAATACAGTTTCCCATTTTGTTTCTGTTGGGGTGATCCAGAAAATTGCTTGCGAAAGACAAGCAAGCATCAGGAAACACTAAGAAGCGTTTCGTCCAATCAGCTTTCACTTGGGGTCTTGGCCAAAAGTATCAAGGAAGCGAAACGTCACATGCAGAGGCTCTGATTGGTTGGCTGCTACACTGCTACTATGTTTAGTAGCATTCTAGAACCTTCTAGCAGCCCAAGGACATTTAAAATATTATAAAAGCCCTGTATTTTCTGTATTAAAATGAACCTTGGAGTAAACTACTTTTCGCGTACTTCGCGTCTTCTCTCTCGTGTTCAGGTCGCTGTGTAGTTCTAGCTTGAGTATTACAGAATAGCTTAGGAGACGAATATAGCGTTCACTCCTCAAGACTTATTAGTCTCCACAGTAATTTCTTTGCACAATATCATGTTGACTTTTAATTCCAGATATAACATTAAAGTTTACTCCATTTAAATAAGTTAAAAGAGATGATTTCTACTTACCTGTGAAAGTAATATAATGTATTCTATTGAATTTCAAAATAATGATTATCAAAAAACAAACAAACAAACACTTGAAAATGTTGTGCATGAATAGTATGAAGTTCATGAGTTGATAAATTTCATAATGTTTAGAGAAACCCTCATTCCTTGTTTACAATTATCCATAACTTGTACACAAAATGGTACAAAACAAATTTTGTTTACAATACATGTATCATCCTCAAATAATTTACATCATTGATAAGGAAGAACAAACTTAATTATCGCATAACGTGTGATTTCATTCATTGGTGTCTCAATGATTCATAGGGATTGAAGGACAAATTAATCACAAGTGAGTAAATGATGACGAAATAGAAAATAAGATTTATGAGTTGTAATGTGTGAACAGAGACCACAGGTTTATTAATGAGTAAACAGAGAGTATTTAACACTCAGTAGTGTATTAGCAGCTTCCATGATACATTTTCGTATAACAACTATTTGGATGTTTGCACAGTATTTTTTGACATGAGTTACTGTGATAATTAGGAGTATTTGAATTATAGTACGAACTAAGAATCTCAGAAATAGTGCGATTGATCAAGAAATACTAGATAAGCACGAACGAATATACTGTATTCGGAATTCAAAATCAAGCATTCAACAAGTACAAAGGAATCATTAGTTCACTCAAACACCACAGTTACGCTATTCAGTGTACCATAACTGTCACTACATTATCTTATAGTTTTCCAAGTGAGACGTAAAATTAAGACCTGTTCGTTAATACTAGGAAATACGAGATTGTTGAAACGTTATAATTAATTAATTGAATTAGTTTTATGCAGTGTTCTTTCAGCTAAAACGAAATCATGAGTTCCGAATGCGATTCTACTTTGATAGCGATTTGTTACTGAACGATTTTCATAAATCGGGTTCAAAGTCAATCCTTTTTTCCTGTTTTCTTTTTCGAACTAATATAAATTACTTGAGAGTAATGGTTTGTCACATTACAACACTTAATATAAAAAGTAACATCCTGACAATTTATTGCTTGCATTATGGTATGCTATGAACTATTCTTCATATTTTTTACTAAGTTCAGTTTAAAACTCATTAATTGCTTTGGATGTAAAATCAATTTTATTGGAGTTTTGGGGAGTGTTTACTTCAAGTAGTATTCTAAATTTCCCTTCATTAAATCAGTGACTTGGATTTGAAATTTAATAAACGACTTCTATCTTAACTATGTGACCAGGTTTTATTCATTCAATGAAAATGATGTACTGAAATTTAATTAACAAGTAATGTAGCTTTGTAAAACATAAAACGCTGTATATAATTCAAGTGAGAAGCTCTATACAGTGAAGTTTATGTGTTTCGACTTGGAACCTTATTCTCATCACACGTTGTTGTTTCATTAACAGCACTAAATATAAGCCCAAAAACTATTCTTTTTCACTTGATTATTGAACCACGGAAATTTCCCATTTTATCGAATCTGGAATCAAAATAACTGTAAGCAAAATGAGTAAAATACCAAACTACAACGTACTAAAATTTCTAAACTGGAACGATGTATGTAAGCGAACAATATTATTTTCAATTAAATCCCCACCAGGCTTAAAAGTAATATTTATAAAGACATACATGAAAATACTAAACTAATCAAGTTAGTTTATGAGTCAGTGATAACAGCGAAACATTACACAAGTAAACATAATAAGGAAGAAATACAAATTGTTAGTGTGATGACAGGTTTACTTGTTATGATAAGAATATTAAAAGCTTGAATCAGTGTTTCATGATAACAAGTAGGTCAAAGACTTGGAGAAGGGATTAATTATACAGTTTAGGATTCTGTAATTAAGAAATAGTTGGAATACCGGAATCTGTCAGTAATGTTGATACATTGCTGTCTAATATGTGCTAATAGTTTTACAGAAGTGCTATAACGTGGGCTGTTTAAAAGATATTGTAACTTTATATATATGAGTTCGTAGTGATAGTTATATTACCTTAACTTTACTAAGATATATTCTTGACAGGATAATCAAACATTCCGGAAAGTAACTTATAACAAAACTGCAATATGGTAGCACAGAGAAGCGATTATTTTATAATTGTCGACTAGACATATCAATGCTATCTAACTGAAAAAATATCAATTTTATTTGACAATATTTCGAGACGAATGTTTCTGCTGGCCCTGAACTGTCAGTGACTGTTTGCCATTTATGTACAGTCATAAAGCTCTTATTTAGTTGGAAGTTATTGTGATAACACTAGTATTTTCATAGTTACTGAAATAAATGGAGAGGTAAAGCTAACGATTAACTCAAGGGATGGATTGTCGATTTTAAACATGATATCTTTGAGAAAAATGGACCTCAAACCACCTGACTGAATATTTATGAGGATTTAAACCTGTTGTTTACATACAATATACATAGACAAGATGCTACTGATTGTCAAGGCGTAAATGAGCACTTAAAGCTTAAAAACAAAGTCAGAAAGTAACTGATGACAATTTACTTCTCTTTGTCCTTTCTCAAAGACAATCGGCAGGTGGCCAAAGATCTAGGTTCCTCTCATCTTAACACTTAACACCAGTGATATACACTTGTAGGCTCAAGGATCATTTAAGATCACAACCAGAACAAAACACAGTGGATCGAACTTGCTGTAAACTGAGGAATCAGCAACACGACTTGGTTACCATCTCGTAACCTTATTTTCTCTATTTCATAGATCCCATTATCACTTTCTGTGATAATACGTAAACGAGTATCTGTGAAGGGACTTGAGGCAGTAGATTGTATGATTGCCTGTATTTATCACTAGTGTCTATCTTCACGCTGAAACATATTTTTTTGGTGTCTGTAAATGCGTTGTAAATAATTCAATTTTTTATTCTTTTACTGCAATATATTCATGTGCGTCAGCAGTCTTTTTCATTATACTTGCGCTAGTCTATTCTGACACTGTGATGTGTGTTACTGATGTGGATAGATATAATTAGTGTGTATCATTAATTGAAAGTTGAATGCCTGGTGGCAGAAGGTTAGGAAAATCTAAGAGAAGAGAAGGAGAACAGAAAATGATTATTGTAAAAACGAAGCAACATCAAAGTCTGAGACAGTTGATTGATATTTTGCAAAAGAAGTATTTACTGTATGGTTCTCAAATTTTATTAATATATTCTATAATGTTGTATTAAAACACATTTGGTTATTCCCACCAGTGTTCTCTTTCACTGCAATACTACTATCTGAACTCATTCAATTCAACGTTTAGATTGATAACCGATACATTCGGATTATTCTATCTCTAACTTCTAGATTTCTGTTCTTACTAAGCATTGAAACACAACACTTATTAGCTAATAGTGACCTGTTCGTCACATTAATTTATTTTATTTGTTTAAAAGAGATGAACAAACCCATTTTGGCAATAGTAATAATAATAATATAATGAAACACGAAGTAGAATCATGTGAGAATGTTTAGTACTTTAGTACTATACTTCACCTTATCCTCAAGAAAATGAGTTTATAAATAAGTAGAAAATGCACACAAGTGTGTACATGATTATCATCATTGTTTATTATTATTATTATCCAATTGAAATTCATTAATGAAAGATTATTATTTATAATCATTTGAGGAAAACTACTTCATTAATTATCTTTCTTTCACTTTCAATTTTGTTGATAAATTCAATTAGTACAGTGTTTACTTCAAGTTAACATAAACAATCACTAATAACAATAATAAAATGGTATTAAGAAAAAAGAAAACAACACCAACACCCGCTACTTCACCTGCTTCGGCAACAAAATCACCGACATCAATAAACACAACACCAACATTGGTAGATATGAATCAATCACAAATAAAATATTCCAGTTTTAAAGTTTTTATTGAATATTGCATAGAAATTGATGCTAATCAAACATTTACTTCACAGCATTTAGATGCACCTGTATCAGTTAAACATGGAATAGTGAAATTTGTCAATATAGACAGAAGTTTATTATTAATGTTAACAACGAAAGAAATGTTTTTAGATAAACCATTATGGTGGCCTGGTACTTCAGAATTATGTATTAATTATGAACAATTACATGATATAGTTGAGTCAAGATCAGATGAGAGAAAATTTGCTTTGGATATTAAGTCATCGAATCCTGGTAAACGTTTAATTCATGTATTTTCAGCTGTCAATAGGAAAGAGAGAAATGAATTGTTAGCAGCGATAAGTAAGAATGCTCAACAATATCAACAAATAATGACTCAACAAAGAGCTATTCAACAACAACAAGCTACATATTATTTAAGTCAAGCTAGTGCACAAAAATCATCAACATCATATGTAGATCAAACTTTAAACTCAAAAGAAGTAAATGTTACTCCTATTGTTACAACGCCACAAAAAAAGAGGTCATCTGGTAGATTTTCCAGAAAGACTGCCATCAAATCACCTCTGAAACCACTTTCGTTTGAAGATTTTCCTCATTCTGCTAATAGTAGTTCACCCAGAGTATTCAATTTTAATGATGCTGACTGTGAAGCCTTTGGATATTCACCAACTATTTATCCGGCTAGTCATCAAAACGACTCTTCAAATATGAAGTTTAGGAACAGGTCTTTAAGTCCAACTCCATTGCAGTGTACAACACCAGAAGTTTATCGCTCTAAGCCAAATTTTGCATCTCGTTATTCGGGACATGAAGATAAAGGAAGTCAGTTCGATGGGCCTTTGCCATATACAAGACCGCTTTCCAAATCTCAACCACAACTAGCCTATTCATATGATAATAGATATTATCAACGTGATGAATACATTCCAAGATATGAAAGTCAAAATAACTACAGATCTCCTGGTTATGTTTCACATTCACCGATTGTCCCTAAATATGCAAATTCAGCCTCAGCAGGAACACCTCATACACCGAATCGTATTGTCCACTACAATGATGATGATGAAAATGGTTATGCTTACGACGGTGCTAATTCAAAAAGTTTTAAAGTGGATGGAGATGATTTAGTTTTAAAAATCAATTGTTATAATCCAGAGAATCGTTCTAAATCTCCAAGAACCACACATTTAGTTCGTATCAGTCATGAAGATAATAGGGAAAATAATAACAGAAAGTATTAAACTCATTGTATTGTAATGATTGATATGAAACTACTTTGATACACTACCCATTTTTGTTTGTGTGTATGTGCCTGAGTTTTGAGAAAAACACAAAAATCTTTAGTTAGGTAACACCATCAAAGTTTAATAAACGTATTTCTGTTTATTTTTAGTTTAGAGGATACAAATTTCTCCTTCGGTTGAAAGAGTATCTTCTTTTTTCTATGAAAGAATGACTTTTGCTAAGATATTTATTTACAACATAAATAGCATATGATTGTCTTATGATTTTGAACTTTATTGGTATCAAAGCTTATCCAATGTGTTTTCTCTTTAATTACTAAACTAGTGTTGTTATTTTCATAGCTATTTATTAATAAAATTATATCCCACTATTTAATTAGTTTAACCATATTATTGATTTTTTGAGTAACAAAGGGATGGGGGTCGATGTTAGTTGGAAAAATCTAAATGACTAAATGTTTATCTCATCAGAATATACATTGCTGCAAAAGTGTTTGAACCCAATCTCAAATCATTTAATTCTTTATTATCTAACAAACTGAACAAAGTCCAATGATAATTATTTCCCTAATTTCATTAAATCTATATATCAAGCATACATTATGCTTTAATGTTATTACTGAGTATGTCTCCTTATATCTATAATTTTCATTTAGAAATATAGGGATTGTCTTTTTGAAACAAGTCAGGAAATGGATTCATACTGCTAAATTATTTGGGACTAGATAAATATAGTTCAGTATCTAATAATTTTTAATAGATTTTGTAAAAGTAGCTTACAGTGTAGTGAAGGAAGATTTGGTAAGGACAACTAATTTATTGTTTATCGTAAAATCACACATGGCCTTAGTAAAATATGAAAATTATACGTTAAATACATTATTCGCACATGTTCTTTACATTGTATTTGACATACTTCATTATTCCTTTAATTCTGTTGTTATTTTAACTACTCCTAGACTTCCATCGTGTTCTCTTCATTGCAATCTTCCGTTGTCAGGCATTCCATTTCAGATTGGTGCGACATACTACTTATATCTGTCGGTATAGGTAGTTGAAGTAGTAGTAGTAGTAGTATTAGAAACTGACTTTTCCATTTTATTCGCTTGTCATTCGTTTGATGCAAAAATTACTTTTATTTGTGATTTAACCTTGAATACTTTGAAGAAACCTAATATAATGTAATTAACTTTGTGAACTATAACAACTGCACTATTAATTATTTTATTGATAGATTTTAAAATATTCTATTAAATGCACAGTAACATACTATTATGATTAATAAAGTTATTGATGCGTTATTGAAGCATTCTCTAATGGTCTCGAATATACTTCAAAATGATCTTTCTTTTATGAGATTGGAATGAATAAATTTTTCTATGAATTATCATATTTTGTAATAATAATAATAAAGATATTAGAAAGTTATTACTCTGACATGGTAATAATTCTGTGTCAAGATTCAGAGAATACTAGAGAATAAAATGTAAATCGAAATTACAATAGTATTGACTTAATTTATTGAAATGAATAGGTTATAAAATGTTTCGATATCCTATTTATAACTAAGTCATTGATAAATCATAGGACAATGGATACTCTCATATCAGTACTATTTATGGTCTTTTAGTGGTCCGGGATTTAAACTCCAATTAAATTGTATGAGTGATTGCTATTGAAATATACACCCTGATTATTCTCGTTTATTATTATCAACTTAATCGGCTTTAGTGTATAACGGAATTAAATAAGTCAAATACGAGAATGTATGTTTGAATGCGTATATTTTGTACACTCGTTGGTCGGAATAGACAATCAGAAAATCGCAGCGAATGATGTGAAGAAGAAATAGCGAAGCGAAACGAAAGGATGCGCAGTGAGCCGACTCTCTTTAATCAAGAGTTATTCAATATTTATAGCCAGATAAAAAATAGGTTACAGACATGTGATGAATAATATAAGAAGTGCACACAAATACACTCATATAAAAACAAGTCAAGGTTGATAATTAACACGGTCAAAATGTAGCTTGATAGGAATAGATAAACTGGCTTGTCTGGAAGCTAGAATAAGCTATATGGGCTCGACATAGGACCAACCACTACAGTCACAATAATATATAGTTCAACTAAACATTATAATGAATATAGTTAAGCTTTTTGCTTCAAATTCGCGTCTTTTCATATTGATTGACTAGTTTAAGCAAATTATAGAATAAATGATAAATCTACAAACTACCATACAATTGTATTTGATTTATTCTGCTTTCAATCTCATTTGGACCCGTTACAAACTCTGAACACACACAAATACACACAAATAAGCACAAGAGATAGTATCAAAAAGATAAATGTCCTTAAATTTCAGGTTAAATATAGTAATGTATTGTTTTTAAAAGTAATATTTTATTGATAAGCTGATAGTTGATGACCAGTATATGATTGTAAATGTGAATATATTACTTATATGATGGCATTCATTATTGAATGCTTAAATCTATGTAGATTTCCTCAATAATGAAATAATAAGAAAACAATAAACAATCTAAATAATCTAAGTAATAAGTTATAAAATTCAATATTTTATGGGTACGTTTTAGCATAATTTCAAAAGAATTCTATACTTACTATTAGTTGTAACTGACATATGAATTTGTGCATTTTAAGTTGCTTTGATTGTTAAAATGTACTTGGGACAAGATCAGAGAATTTAATCTATTATAACATATGATTGAAAACCTTACATAACATGATTTAAAAATTAGCTGTAAAATTCATTTTTCGCTTCCCAAAAGATATTAGTTCAGATCATTATGAATGTAACAAGGGAATGCATCATTTTATTGGAATTCGTTGTTTCTTCGTTAGACTATACAAGTTTTCTGAAGTAATGATAAGAATATGCGGACTAATTATATATACGGGGTGAATGAAGGATATTTTCAAAAGAATATCATATTTACGAGGGTTCTAGACTTATGTTCAACCACCAAAAAATGTAAGCCACAAACTCTCTTTTTGCACACATAAGTGAGACTTGTAATAAAAAACTCTGAGAAGCGTCATAGATTCCCTTTGTTCTAGTCAATGATTAATTGAAAAGCCTAGTTAGGACCCAGTATCGATTCTGTGTCAACACGTGAAACGTATAGGTCATTTAATATCCCTTTTTACATGCATTGAAAGATGTTAATGATTGAGTTGATATGACTCTGAAAAAAGTAAAACGAAATGAGTTTTCAAACAATTAGTCACGTTCATAATTTCTTATAAATACTCTCCTGAACTACTTTTTTAGTTCGTTCCATAAATCTAGATTTTGTAATAAAGATGTAACGTTGTGTTCACTACGTTTCAAACAGTTTGGTCATACTTACTTGTCAAGGCATTTTATATAGAAAATGACGAAGACTAATCATACAAAATGAAAGAGAAGTTGAACATGAAATAGTAATTAGAAATCTAAGAGAGAGAGAGAGAGAGTGATATGGGATGAAGAGAATAAGATGTCAAACAAAATAAAGACAACCAAGAGAAGAAAATTTGCATTACGACAACATCATTTACTAAAGTTGTTAAATCATATTTCCTGTTATATTATACATACTTGTTGAGTCATTAACGAAGATACCAAACGTTAATCGAAAATTAGGATAACGAGTAAACTTGCATAATAGTTATAAGGTTATAAGAATAAAACTAACGTATAGAAAAGTGTGGGAGATAATTATTCACTTGAGAAGTTGTTAAACCATCATAAGGATTAGAAAATGGTTAAAAATTACTAATCCAGATTTAAAACTAGTACGAATTGTTTGAGTAGTCAGGAGAAAAGCTTGAAACGTCTACTGGCCATGAGTTCCACTGACCCAATAATATGCTTTAAAAGTGTACTATTGTTTTCTTTAGTTCCACTTTGCTTCCATATTATGTCATTTCCTTCTCTCTATCGTATTTATGACTATTAATTTGTGTACAATTCTCTTTTAATTTTGTCAGATAAATATTTAGTTTTCACATAAAATGTCCTGACAAGTATGTTTGAGCAAATTATTCGGAACGTATTAAACTTATTGAATATTGTATCCTGAATTTCTGTTCTGAATTCTCATTATAATATCAAAATTAATTTCGTTGTTTTTCGGTCTTTCTTACAAGCATTATGAATCTAAAGCTAAGCGCATTTACTTCCTTGCCGGGAACTATTTTGTCATATATCAGTTATTTAACATTCAGTGTTTACGTACGATTGAGTATATTTAAAAAGAATTAATATTTCTACGCAATGTCTTGAGTTTTCTGAGCTATCCACACATCTGTAGTTCATAGAATTTTTTTTGGTTGTTCAATTAAGTACTTTTTAGAGACAATCAACCATTTATTCATAGTTTAAGGTCAAGTAGTTTTTAATTTGTTAGGAGGAAACTTCAATGCATATTATAACAGACCAGGTGATCTACTACTTTCTCAGTTCATTTTTTCTCATAACAAAAAATTATTTTTGGTATTGTCCTTGAAAACACTTTCAGTGTTTTGGGTAAAGTCCATTTTTATTTATTTTCTAATTCCTTACATACGTCGTTCGAATCTGTTAATATCTTGAATGACGTGGTATATCAAAAAGATTTTAAGCGATTTATTCAGGTTACTAATAAGTAGTATAGAAAATAACTAAAAAATTAATTCGATTAGGAGTTTATTCAAAACATGACTGTACAAATGATTCAATCACAAACCTATTGGAAGTGACGGAGATTATTTATTTCCATTCATTTTGTTTGAGAGGATTCATCAATCCATTATTTTAATAAAGTTTCTGCCATTAGTAAGCGAGTGAGTTTCAAAATGTAATCAATATCACAAAAATATATATGTAGTGAAAAAAGAAGAAACAATTAAAAACATGGCTAAATGTCAATAATTTTATTCACACAATGATAATGATGAATACAGTTGTTCTGTCTTATTTAATTTTAAGTACTTACGCAAATGGATATC